TCTTAGTCATCAACTGTACTTCAGACAAACTATTTGTGTAGAAATGCTACTGTAGGAGAAAAATTCAATGTTTTCTGACTCCCTCTTAGGCTCCGGGTAAAATATTTTTCTGGAATATGTAAAGGCAAACTCAATATCTGAAAGCAGCCTTAGTTCTTTTGATTAATTGATAAAAGGAATATCAGGAAAGATACTCTGAAATGTAGCTGAAGTTGTATATCTGTGTTAGTTCTGTGGGAGTAAACTCAGCAGTAGACATGTATAAGTAGAATGATTAGTTACTGTTGGGGGACAGCTTAAATATTTTCAGGCAAAGTTTTCATAGGTCTCCTGACTTTAATTTTTAGTTATATCCTGACTTGCCAACATTCCTAATTACAATGAGACTGGCCTTTAGCCACTGACTGTTGCTTCTTGTCTTTCTGCCCTTACTATTCTGGTAACCTGTTGGTCCTTATTTTTGTTCTAACACACGTGTGACTCCCCTTAGCTTAGGTATGTTTATGTATGAGGAACAGGCAGTCTGGTATTCCTTATTTCCCTCTGTTGTCACTGGATTAGGATAAATGACGTGTGTGTACCTGATCTGTGAATAAACTGTTTCCTGTACGAAAGAAGTTTGGAAAATACAGTTCCTCCTTCCTTCCTTCCTCTCCCCTGTCCTACCTCTCAGCAGCTTTCAGGCAGCTCCATAGACATGTTCCAGCAAATGCCTGGGCTCTTCAGGAAGGACTATAAATCCTGTACATAATCCCTACAGTAGGTTAGTGCTCAGGTTAGCCCGGTGAATTTGCAGTGTTATGGTTACAAGGGATTTAAGGGCATTATCTTTCCTGTGCAAACAGTACGAAAAGTTCTTCAGGGATTTTCCCATATAGGTCTGGCAGCTAAAGACAGATTGCAGAATATGGTTTTGAGAGCAAAAAGCAAGGCTTTCTGCTTCCTGATTTGTTTTTTAAGTAGGTGTGAATTTTGTGGACATGTTAAATTTAAAAAAAAGTTTAAAAATATATTTATAAACTGTTTCTAACTCATATGAAATTTTTTTTGTGCATAAACCTGTTAAATTTTGAAGTATAGTACGTAAAATCCTGGCAGTAGAGGAAGATGCCCCATCCAGTGCCATTTGGAAGCTGAGATCTTACCCATCCATGCTCCTCTTTTGAGCATTCCACTGCCAGCCATGCAGGAGAGAATGAGTTTTTAGAATGCAGGAGAGTTGGATCTGACAGCTGTCACATGGAGAAATGCTACGTGTCTTCTGGGTTTGGCTGTAAGAATTTGGGAGGGAAATGCCAGATTATCAGGGAAAGAAGAAACATTTCCTTTTGTAAACAGTCTTACAAGAAGATTACAAATCTTTGAAGCTGCTTAGAAATTCTGGTAGGGTGAGTCCAGGCAGGATGGGTTTGTGGAAGAAACAGCTGACGGGCAGTAAATGAGCGTGATTAACAGTTTGGTTTGGTTCGGTTTATTTCTTCAAGTGTTGTGTATATTCTGTTTTGGAAACCTAAAGTATATATGTTGGTCATTCTGAGTGGATGCTTTCTATTATTTACAGTGGTGTGTAGTTATACACAGACTCTGACAAATATAGCAGTGTCATAGAGTCTATTTTTAGGCTCAGATATTTGTGATTATGATCTAATGTGCCAAAACTTAGCCAAGCTATGAGCAAGAAGATCTTACAGGCAAACAATGCTATTGACCTCATGAGTAGCTGGTACCAAAGAAGGATCATCTGTACCAGTACAGGGCGTTCTGCTGGTTTTTTCCCTTCTGTCCACTTAGTTTCCTCTGTTCTAGACAGACAGGATGAGTTGGAGAGGTAGAGCGCATAGTTGCTGGGCTGGAACAAGCTGTTTATTTTCCATTGTTTGTAATCATGCATGGCCTATTATGCTGCTTTCTTTTCTTTTCTCTCTCTTTTTTTATTTTTTTTTTTTAAACTGGGATTTTCCATACTGCTCCACTGAGGATTGGTGTCTGCCTTCCAAGTTCAGTTTCTGCTCTGCATAGGGCAGTCCTTGGGACTGGTCATGTATCCCTTGATTAGAAATGGGTATCCCATGCCTGTGTGAACAGTCCCACTCACCTTACAGCAGGCTAAGTACATCTGAGTCCTTCCTGTCCTCAGGCAGGACTGGAATAAAAGTGAAAACCCACTCGGCCACTTCTGAGCCTCCTCAGTCACTGCTAAAAGTTATTGATATTCATTAATTCTTAAAAACAGAGTAGCATCTCAAAAGGAACAAGCAGAGCTGAAACGAATGCTGTGCTCAGTCAGTTAACAGCAATGACATGTACTCAACCCAAAACATTCCCACGTGGAAGATGATCTGAGCTGCTCGATGTTTTCTGAGGTGTGACTGTTCGAATCTTCCCTATGACTTCTGTAGTGATAAACTTGTGTTTGCTGTAGTGTTCCCCCTTTTTTGCCTCTGCCTTGCTTCTGGCAGTGTGGTTTGCATCCTACCCTGCAGTTCCTTACGTTAAATACATCTCTCAGTGTCTCCAGACAAGGATGTGTTTTTCTGCCTCCGGCAAACCACTGGCTGTATCCTTCTCCTGTTACTGAGACTCCCCCCCTCCCCTCTGGTTAGAGGTCAATCTGAAGTGCAGGAAAGAATGATTATGATAACAGGAGGAAACAGGAAGAATCATGCTTTCTTTTTCAATCTGTTTTTTATTATTGTTTTAATGTAAAACATTGTTTCAATTAAATGCTGACCTGTGCAGTGGCGTGTGCGCGCACATGCTGAAATGAATTCCAGCTTTGTTTGGAAAGCTGTGACCTCTTTATTCCTGTTCTGGATCAAGGCTGTTGCCTTTCAAACCCACTGCTGAGGACTGAAATTTCACTCGTAGCACGGGCAGTAACAAACCTCAAGAGCAGTATTCTCCTCGGGCTTTTTTGTCTGCTGTGCTCTCTCAGTTTTTAAAATAAGCTTGTTTGGTTTTAAGACTTACACATGCCAGATAACCAAAAAAGATAACCATGACACAATTAAAATGCATCAAATGAGCACTGGGCTAAAGTGGTACTTGGTGGAGCTGATAGGTATAGAAATGAGCAGAGATCTTTATCAGTTACTTGCTTTCTCTATGCCTTAGTTTCATGCTGTGTTAGTTATTCTTGCATTTTTTTAAAGTGAGAGTGCCATGTGAATTGACTTCACCAAAAGGAAAACGTAAGACCGAACCCAAATACCTGCTCCCACCCTGCAAAGTGTTGGCTGCAATGACACTGGAGTAAGATGTCGAGTTTATTTGCCTGGATGTAATTTTTAAATCTGAGGGGTGAATCTCTGTTGTCTCACTGAAGTTTTTGTTTGCTTAAAATGAACTCCTTAGAGGAAGGAAGAAGGGGGCGAGGAATACCATGAAAATTGTCTGGGTTGTTAAAATGAGTCAGTTATATTTTATACTTGTCCTCTGGTGACCAGATTTTCATTTTTCTCCTTGGCCTCCTGGAATGTTTTTATTTATGTATCTTATTAGTTTTGGATGTTCTGTGCAAGGGGAAACCTGAATTACAAACTTTTTTTCTTTGTGTTATTGTATTAAGAGCCTGGGTATTGGATGCAGGTGCTCAGACTCTGCTGTAATTGGCAGTTTATGGAGAGACACCAGCTGTACTGCTTCACAGGGGACATATTATATCTCTTCACACGTTGTATATATTGTAGGAAATGCAGAATTCCTGTCATTGTCAGAAACTTTGCAAGTCTGCTTCTACCAGTGCCTCTGTAGGGAAAAAAAAAAAAAGACAACAATCTGCTGAAAGTTAAAACCATGTCTATTTTCAGAAACGGCTTAATCCCTTTTATTGTCCTTTCATGTAGCACTAATTGATGTTTTGTTTGGTTAAATATAGAAGAGACTTAACAAATGTTTGTCTTTTTATGGTCATGCCAGGTGAACTGGTGGGGTATGAACTGCCTCATTTGTTTGGGAACACATGGCAACAGATATGTAATATCTGATGTGTGTATACCTGCATATAAAATTATGCTCATCAACTAATAATATCTAAAATGAGATATTTGACAGCTTCAGTTCACAGAACAGGATTGGAAACAGAAGCAATAGAACTCTGAATTATATTAGACCTCAAAAGGGATAATTGTACAGTGGGAAAACCACGATGCTTCTGGGCATCTTACACAACAGGGGCTCTCCAGGGAATGCCTGGGAGCTGCAAATGGTACAACCTGGTCCTGCCCAAGGAGTACTGATATATTGATGTGTGAGTGGGTGGGACTTGTGTGGCCTTTGGTGGATTGATTTATAGGGGGAAACTAGGAATTAGTATGAAGATTTATAGGTATTGTGTGTATTTGGTATTGTGTGTATATAGGTATTTGGCCAAACAAAGGAAAAGGTAAAAGCTATGCCTGATTTGAAAAGTATGATCACTGAAGGGAATTAAGAGTTGTTGGGTGTTGCAGGGAATATTTGTTGCATGTCAAGAAAAATATAGGTGTCTGGCATCTTACCAGGTGGCAAAATAGGGTCCCAGTGAGGGTTAGAGAAACCTCATCAGTTTGCTTTTAAGAGCAGCTTGGAAAATACAGTCCTGACAATAGAGAAATGGACAAGGTTGCAGATGTCTTACTTATGCTGATTTAATGTTGCCTTGAATATCTGTTGTCCCTCTTCCTCTGTGGTTTAGAAATGTGTTCAGATCAATGTATGGATATTTGGAGTTTTTCCCCTGCTATCCTCATCTCCGGGAACACGGGAACAAGGCTGTTTCATCCTGTCTTTTGGAACAGATTTAGTTTATATTCTGTCTATGGTAGTTAAATCCCCTTTTTCGTGCTCTCCCATCAGAAGTGTCTCTCATGTTCTCTGACGCAGTTCAGACCTGGCGCTGAGACATTCCTTTGGACATCATTTCCTTTCCAGTGCTGCTCTGTGTTTGTGTGTGGTGCACTTTGTTTGTGAGAACCAAGAGGAAGTCTACATATTTCCATGGGTTTTTTTTGTTTTAATAGGTTTGCACGCCTTGCGGAGAGCGCTGGGGAAGAGCCCTAACCTGTTAGACACCGAGGTGGCTGGGTCAGTGATGATTGCTTTCAATGACTTCCTGCAGGGGATGAATGATGTCAGGCCCAGTGCCATGAGGGAGGTGGCAATTGACGTGCCAAAAGTAAGTTGTTTTGTGCAATACTCCAGCAGCGTTGCCAGAGCCACGTTAAGAGAGGAACTTTGTGAAGTGGAATCCTCAAGTTACCAGTAAATGCTGTGCACAGTCTTTTTGTTTCCATATTTGTTTATTTATTTACGATTTTGAAGAACCATTTGCAGAAGCTTAAGTTCCTAAATGCTTTAGGAAGGGTTTGTAGTGCAGGAGCCTATCTCCTGGTCTGTAGTTTTATATGCTGAGTGGGTTAATGGGGTAAAAATCTTCAGATATTTGCTCAAAGCTGGTCCTGAGCAGCCATGAAAGCTGGAGCCTTTTATGAAGCAAACACAAACTAAAGCAGAAACCAACTGTTAGCATTTGTAACCAAAGTGTGTTGAAACAAAACTGTGGACAGTTTGATTGCTGTGATTTTCATGTAAATGTGACCTGAGTGTCTTCAGTTTCATTATGTTTTTAACTGAAAGCAGAATTCAGCACTGTACACAGGTTATCACTGCCAAGCCTGTCACGAGCTGTGCTTATATGAACAGTTCTTTTGGTGGTGTCAGGTTCATCTTTATCCTACTCACTGCCCTCTCAATTACATGTTAGAGTAGTTCAGTAGCAGACAGCATAAATTGGGCTGGGGAGCTGATCTGGTTTAAGACAACTCTGATGTAGGTTAAGAAGATTGAGCGAAAGAACGTGTGTTTAATCCTACTGAATCCTGACTCTGTGAGTGGCTGTGCTGGTGTTTCTCAGCAGCTCCCCAAGCCCTAGGAGAAACCATTTATGTCTCATTGCATGAAGATGAGTCACTTGGGAATTAGATTGCACAACTATAGACCCTTACTCCCAAACTATAGGAATGGGAAATAAAATCTACGCACTGGATGCTGCACAGAGCCAGCTGGGACGTCACACTTGGCTTGTTAAGAGTCCGCGCTGTGCAGGGAAGTGCTGGATGGAATTGCCTGGGCTGGCCCCAGGCAGCTTTTCCTGGAAGTGGTGTCGTGGCATCGATATCCACAAGGGCTGAGTGGCTCTGCTGAGAACCAGAGTTACTAATTCTTGCTTGTTGTGCTACTTGGGCTCACGTTGTTATCCTTGTGCTGTACCTCTTAGGCATACCAGGTCGTTTGGAACCGTGTGGAATGCTGCTAAACAGCACGAGACAGACAGGTAGAGGTAGAAGTAAGGTCTTGAGGTACTGCAGGAAATCTGTTCTCAGTCCAGGTCAACTTACTGCTCAGGCTCCTGTTGTCCACTAAACCATCCTGCCAGGGGCTTCCTTGATTGTCACTTGATTTTATTTGTTAAACACCTCCTGAGTCACTGCAATACTACTGAAATTGCTTCCTTTATTGAAGGGGAGATAACAGCATAGTGCAGAGTCCTTTTGTGCTGACAGGACCTGCATGTTTTGTGAAGATGCAGTGTAAATTTGAGGCCATCTGCTTGGTGCCTGGGGTGAATTTAAAGTGGAATCTTAAGTACTGGATGCAACAGATTTTGTGTCCTCCTGTATTACCTATCAAAGGAGGGGAGTTTGGGACTAGATGATCTTTAGGGTCTGTTCCAACTCAAGCTATTCTATGATTCTGTGACCACTACCATCTAAAAAAATCCTTTCTAAAAATAACTTTAAACACTGAATAAATAATCAGCTATGAGGGGTTTTTTTTCCCAAAGAGAAGAAATAAATAAATAGCTTTTCAGCTATTCATTCCAGATATAGGATTCACTTGGCAGCCCCCTTGGTGTGGATGGGAATTTTGGCCTGTGTAGTTAGTTACAGGTAAAACCATTGATGCACATGCTGAATTAAACTGAAATTTTTGTGACTTTTAACCTGATAACTGAATGACAAGAGTTCAAAGTAACTTCTAAATAAAGCCTCAAGTCCTTCCTCGTGTGCCCGGATTGCCTTGTGTGTTGGCTGTGACCAAGGCAAATGCAAAATACTTACTGCCTGATTCCACAAAGCATCTTGTTTTCCATTTTTACAGAACCTTTCTTGAACTTTGCTATGTGTTACAGCCTTTTTAGAAGGCTGCTTTTTCTGCTGCAGGGATTTAGGAGAGAGGGGATGCACTTTATAAATCAGGAAGTTAATACTGCAGCTCTTTGGAGAGTTGCACTGTAGTTACTGTTCCTCCCTCTCCTATGGGTCTTCCTGAAATTTTGTTAGCTGTGGGTTTTGCTTGCCTCTTTCACTCCCTTTGCTGTAATTCAACACTCAGATTTGTGTCTTTGCAGCCAAAAGGTTCTGGATGAGACATCCTTTGCACGTCTGCTTTATTTCTTCATTGCTGGTGCTTAATAACCTCTGGGGAGTTGCTGCTCTGGGTCGTATTCTGAGTTCTGTTGACCTGGGGAGATTATGGCAGTAATGAAATCTCGGTGTCTTACACACTGCAGCAGAGCACTGGCTTTGTATGTGTAAGCTCAGCCCCAAGGCTAATCTTTAAAATCATTTCCATGGTGACAGAATATCACACTTCATTGCTGGTGTTGCAAGACCTTCTCTTTGAGTTCCTGTGCAGGTGAAAGCAGTGTAGCTATTGCTGGTGGACTGTCCCCACCCACACTTATCTCTCTCCTTTTGAAATGAGGAAATAAAAGTCTGTTTTGTTTACAGCTTGACCAGAGTGTGAAAGTAGTGGTTTACTAATACCATTGCTGCTTCAATTCCATACCTTGTATTATAGAAATTCTAAATAAGTGAATTTCTGACTGGTTAGTTGTTTTTTTTTTTTATAGGAGATCTCGCACTTTAGTAGCCATGTTTGTATGCCCTGACCCAGTTGTTTCCTCTTTTTCCCTTTCCCAATTTTCAATGTAAGCAAAATCAGAATAAGTCTCCAGCTTACTGGAAACAAACTTCATGTAAGGTGGCTGTACTTCACCTTTTCTCTACAGTTCTGTCACTTGTGGTGGTGTTAAATGACATATAGTGCCTTAGAAGACTTGTGCAGTAGACTGAATATTTGCAAGAGGGTAAAAGTAACATTTTATGTGTTTTCCTTGGCTTTTTATATGTGTGGAAAGTACTGCAAGTGCATTTTGCTTTCTGTTGCTGAAAGTTATAGGGAATTCCTGATGGCCAATTACTTTTAAGATATTTTTATTCATGTTTGTCAAAATCTTTGTCTAGATGGAAAGACATGATGATAGGAATGACTAGTCCATGCTTTACCAGGTAAGGATTGGTACTGAAAAAGGAGAACAAGCTTATGTTGTCTGTCATCTTCCCTAAGAAAAAGTTGTTTAAGAGTGCCAGGATTTAGTTGTGTGCAGTTTACAGAGCTGCTGGATAGAATTAAGGGTTGTAGGGGTAGGTAATACATCTTTTCTAGATGAAACTTAAACCACACTCTTTCCTATCTGACTCAGAAACACAAACTTATGTAACATGGGAAGATTGAGTTTAACTGTCCTGAGTTTAATTATGTTACTCAACCTTGAAATTTGAGTGAAAAGGGTTTGCATGGGTGGAACAGTGGAAAGGTGCAAGTGAGGTATCTGGCACATGGTTTCACTTTTTATGAACTTGTCTGTTTGCTTCATTGTAGTTAAAAGTCTGTATGTGGATTTCTGTCTCTCTCTGTCTCAACTGTGTTGGTAGCCCAAGATACTCAGCTCAAAGTCAGGTGATAGGAATTTCTTTTGCCTTTGACAAACCCCTCTGCTCTCAGATCCTCCTTGGTTCGCAGTGGTGATCAACTCTACATATTTGATACTTTCTCAGGCTTATAAATTAATTACTAAAGAACCAGAAGCTGTTGGTCACTAAGAAAGAGGTTTCTTTTTTTTCTAGTGTTCCTGTAACATATTCTTGGTGTGAGAGAGATGATGTTTAGGCAGCAGATGGGCAGCTCCTCACCTTCCAGTTAGCCTTTAAACTCAGAGTATTTCTCAGGGGTTGACCCACGTGTCTTGATCTGTTTGCTCTCTGCTGCCTTTGTAATTTTGTTCCACATTCAGGTCTGACAATCCAGGAGAAGTTCTGTGTGGTTGGAAGTACAATTGGTCTTAAACAAAAGTGCTCCCACCGCATCCAAATGCTCTTTTTCTTCCACTTCAATAACAGACTGAACTGCCTCTTTCAGGGACTGTCTGCTTCTGGTTTCCACTCCATGTACTGGTATCAGGAGAAAATCAGGACAGGCCAGGGGTGAAACCAGTTTTCAGCTCAGGAGAAAGGCAATACTTTGCCTCTTGGTAACACTCTGCTTGCCTTTCAAATGAACTGACTTTCCAGAGCTGAAGGATGATTTATGTCTAGCAAACTTTTGGAAGAGCATTTTAAGGCAGAAGATCATTTGATTTAGGTGCGTCTTGACATGTTTAATATTTGAAGTGGACAGGAGTGGATGGTGACAGGACAAAGAACAGGCTGGGAGTTGAGGGGAAAAGTCTTGGGCTTGTTGACAGCGATGTGGGGAGAGGTATAACAGGTTTTAGATCTGTCTGCTGTTTTGGGTAGGACATATTAGTTCTGCCCTGATGTATTCCTGACAAGCCTGTCTTGTGTCTTCAGCAGAGCACACTGAACTGCACTTGTTTTTTAGCTGTAGTTGGATTTGAGTGTTGCCTTTTGTATGTGGTTTTGCTTTTCCACAGATGCTTGTGTGTTTGGAGGCTGGTTTGTTCTCAAGCTTCTAGTCACATCTCCAAGTGCCCGAGTCCTATATTGGAGTGATAGTGTTGGCAGGTGGAGAAACCCCCCAAACTTCTAACAGTCAGTCCTGTTACAAATTCAGCATCACATTAAAAACGAGAGAACTGAGTTGTGACTGCTGGTTTTGCTGTTGACCTTTGAAGTAGATAGAGTATATTTCATGTGCATCCTCCAGCATAAAGCAAGTGTAATCCTCCTTTACGATGTGTGACTTTATTAATAACTGCTTCTTTCTTATAAAAGGCTTTTTGAAGAAGTAACTCATTAAAAAACAACTTTGTGAAATAACCAGTACGCATTCTATGGAGCACTTTTTGGTTGTTAACTTTTTTAATAGTTTTTCTCCGTTGTCCATGGTCTGAATTGAGTTTTTCTCCATGGTCTGAATTGAGCCAAATGGTCTGTTTTGCAGGTCTCTTGGTCAGACATAGGAGGACTAGAAGATGTGAAGCTGAAATTGAAGCAGGCAGTTGAGTGGCCTCTCAAACATCCCGAGTCCTTCATCCGCATGGGGATCCAGCCTCCGAAAGGTGTGCTTCTTTACGGACCTCCTGGATGCTCAAAAACCATGATAGCAAAAGCTTTGGCCCATGAAAGTGGTCTCAACTTCTTGGCAGTGAAGGTAGGCCATTTTTAGACTTACATTTTCTTCACTCCTGCATAACAACTCATGGTTTACCAATTTCCAGTGTTAGAATCCAGTGGCTCTTGCTGTTTCTGATCCTTATATATGATGCCACAGCAAACACCTTGTAAATATCAAGAAAGGTTTGGGTTTTCTTATGAAAAGAAGTAGTGCTTTCTTGTATGCTTTTTAAAAATATTAGCACAGAAATTGTATGTTGGATGGGTGGGTAAGCTGTGGAGTGATATCTTAAATACTGGCATTATTTAAAGTGTTTTTAAAATGGCAACAGTGAAATTCTTTAAGTAATATAAATGAAACACAACTCTGGGTAGTGGGTAGCTGCTCTTACTGAAATAATTGCTTGCATGGAAATATTATCATCTCATCTCTTACATTCCTTTTCTTTCCTCAGGAAGGTCACTTTCTTTATCTTATTCTTTATGTTTCATTTCAGATTTTTCTTGTCCTATTTGCCTTTTTTTCAGGGGAAATAGTTCTACTTCATCACTTTTTAGAAAGTTTGCAAAATCAGTTATATCTGGAGTACTCCTGGATAAATGGGATATTCTCTCAGCGTTAAGAAACACCTTAGGTATAGAAAAATTTTGGATTTCGTTGCCTGTGAATCAATGTAATTGATCACTGTGGGTTGTATGGAAAACACATGAATGGAAGCTATTTAATAATAATACTGAGCTTCAATGCATAGGAAGAAAAAAAAGGATAGCAGAGTGATTCCACATGGGGTAGTCCTGCAGCTGTGTCAGAATGTTAATGAAGTGCAAGAAAAAACATTTGTTTAAGTATTTTGAAAGTATCTCCTTCTCAGCAGTAAGATCACGTCCTCTTCTCTGTTGACCATCTCTTTGCTCACAAAGCCTTCTGTGTTAGTGTTTCTGCACAGCTTCCTCCTCCTTTCAGGCACGCTGTAGCTGTAGCTCTGGATCCTGTCCTCTCTGGGATCAGGGGCAGTCACTCTGACCCTGAAGCCAACAGCCCTTCACTGCCCGGGTTTCCTGGGATTGCAGACAGGCCTCTGGGTCACGGTCACTTCAACAAGAGCAGCCTTGGAAACCTCAGCCCTTAAGAAACACTGCCTTTACTGCCTCTTCCATAAAGACAAAGTAGTTCTTTGTACTCCAGAATCACTGGTAAACAAGGTAACCTTTTCCTCCTGCGCTGCTTAAAAGAAAACATTGCTCTTTGTCTCACCCAAAGCACTGGGGCCTGAGAGGGTGGGGAAAAAAGGTAGCACTCAAAAACCCCAAGTTAAAAATGAGTGCTGTTGCTCTCCTGTATCCCTCAGTCATAGCTCCATCAGACATTTTTACTGGTGCAGTTAATTGTCTAAAGGTGGCTCCTGCTGACCAGGAGGTATCCAAAGGTGCACTGATAGGAAATGCTTGTGTACAGTTTTTCCATGGTGGAGTTCTGAGGGTGCAACCCCCCTGTCATTGACAAGCTGCAGCAGAAGGGGCTGGCTTGAGGAAACTGCCTTTTATTCCCTGTTGGTTTAAGTCCCTTGAGCTGGAACTGGTCAAATATTTGATGTACAGATGTTTCAAGAAGCACATCTCTGGAGCATGTCCAGCCTTGGATATGTTGACTCCAGGAAGGGAACTTAGCCCACTTGCTCTAACATCACATTTGTTTCTTGGAGGGGAAAAAGGCAACATCCATCATGTACTAAATGTGTTAAACATGGTCTGTAGCACTTTTTCAAGCTCAACAGCCATGGATTAATTTCTGCTGCACGTGTTCCTGCAGTAAATCCAAAGTAGATGAATATGTGGGGTTTTGATTTTGTTTTGTTTTTTGAGAGGGGACTTTTCTTGCTTATAGCCCTATTGATTTTCCTATTCTTTACATGTGTCTCAAATATCCATCCCTGGAACTGACATCAGGTTTTTTGAAATGACAGTGTGTTTCTTGATAATTCACTTTTCAGACTTGCATTTTCCTTCCAGTCTCCCCTGCCTCAAATAAGTAATCTTGATGAAAAGTGTCTGCTGTACAGCTTGCAGGATATGTGTGTTCTTCTGGGACAGTCCAGGGAGCACAGGTTCCTGGGTCCTTCTCAGGAAGGGACTGCAGACAGGAGGCTTAGCTTTGGCCGTGGGAGCCTGCTGCTGGATGCTGTCTCTCCCTGTGTCTGAAACCTGAGAGGAAATCAATTCTGGTACATGCAGTGCTTGCTTGGTCCAGTGATTTTTTTGAAAGACGGACCTATTGTGTGTGCACACTACCCTTCAGATCCATGGGCACAGAAAGTCCAGCTCTCCAGAAGTGCTGGATGTACTTTCCTGGTCTAAGTTGTCTGTCCTGCCTCGGTGCCGCAGGTATCGCCCCTGCCCCAGCTGGGTTCCAGGAAGGCTTTGCTCTGTTTTCCAGATGTGTGTGTGCAGTGCCTGTGCAGTTTGGACAGCTGCCTCTGTTAAATGAGATGTTTCAGCTGAGTTATGTGTGAACTGTTAAAATGTGACCTTTCCATCTGTTTTGGGCACGGGGGGAGCTGTCACAGCTCCGTCTGACCGGCCTCTCATAAGGGCTGGGAGATGGGCAGAGTCTGGATGTCAGTTCTGGGCAGAGGAGCTGCAGAAAATAATGTGATAGCAGATGTTTGACGTTGCATCCTGTTCTCTCCTGAAATCTATTGTGAGGTTTGAATGGTTGGTGTTACAATGAATGTGGCCCTTTTGTAAACATGCTCTTTGATACTTGGCCAAAAACTTTTTATAGCTGTATTTTCACCAAGATTGGTGACCTTTTGCTTTTCCAAGAGAAAAGCAGTTTGTTGGATGGTTTGTTTTACAAAGCAATCTTGCATATAATTCCTAAGGGGAATTGTTTATTTTTATTCCTTCTCTTGACTGTCTTTGTCTCTAATACAATGTATCTGCTAAATTTACTGAGGAGGAGATTGTCAACCACTTTCCAGGGGATGGCTTTTCCTGCTCCTTCCCGTCAACCCCCTTTTCTAAATCTCTTGCAGTATTGAGGCTTTTCAGGGTTTTAGTGGTCATCTGGATTATTCCCCTTTCCCAAACCTCTGTTACAGGAAAGGCAACTGAATTGTTCTCAGCTTCTTGGAGATTTTTCAGTGTTTTGTGGTCATGGATACAAGCGAGTATAAGACTGTGTGAAGGAAGGAATTAGGAGAATTTTTCATCCTTCAGGATTGATCATCAGTCTTGTCAATAGTTTTTGATCTGTTTGAATGCTTATTTCAGTCAGCCTTCTCTGCACTTTTGTACTTCTTCACATTCCTATTGTGCTCGCCCCAAAGTTTGTAATTTACTTCTGAAATGTATTTTGTGCATCTTTTACTAGTAGGAAAAGGTTATTTCTGTACAGATGTTACACCTATCCATATTAATAGGACGAGGGATATAATTTTCAGCTTCTGCCAGGCTGGTGACACCTTGCTTGTTATATTACACAACTAACTCTCTGACACTTTTGCTCTAGATGTCATCTAACTTTCTGAAATTGAACATGAAGGAAATGAAAGCCTTTGTCACCGTATTATTTCTGTGGGTTGTTTTCCCTCTTTTGACTATTTATATGGTAGGTATTTCTCTGTACTGTTCTGACAGTTCCTGCACTTAGGGTCAGCTTTGACTGGCTGCTTTTTTAAGATATATTTTTATTAAACTGCTAATGGTTTGTGGTGATATTATAAGAATATTTTTGGAGGAAACTCCTTTATCTTGCTGCGTGGCATAGATAATTATATCTGCATTTGTCTTGCATCTTAGTTTATTTAGATTTGTTATGACTGCCCTCTTGGATTTTTATTTTTTTATTTTATTTTTAGCAAATCCTGTATCATTGTGCTGTGCTAAGGATCTAATGAGTATTACTTTACAGACTTTCTGTTGCTTTTCTGGGAAGCAACTGAGTGGAATTTTTTTCCCCTGTTATTGTTGTGGTATTTAGGTGATTAACTTTACTACCAAACAACAAAACCATTGTGCTTTTTTTGTTTTTAACCTATTTCAGAATGAACACTGAAGTTTGCTCTGATGTTGTCAGGCTGGGGGACACCATCACGGTACCTCCCCAGATAAACTCCATCACCCAGTTATGATGAATTCCTTAGCTGATGGTCTGATCCGTGGGGACTCCGAGTTCTGTTTTCTGTCCAGCAAGCAGATTACCTGAGTTTATAAAATATATAGCAACAAAAATCATGTAACTTCTATATTCTCGCAAAGGTTTGGGAAGTATCATTTTTCCTCTTGTTGCTCAGTGCTTTTTAACATTTGTCTGTTTAAAATCAGAACTAAGGCAAAAACTCGCTTAGGCATAGTGACAAAAACCAGCTTAATCTTAAAAAGAAAAATAGAATTTAGACCTCCAAAAGTTAAACCCTTTGGAATTCAGCTAAGTGAGACGCAGTAATTGTTCTAAACAGGATGAAGCAATACTTTAAAAAAAACCATCACACAAAACAAACAAAGAAAACCAAACCCACCTGTGACAGTAAGGAGTGTTTAAGGATGTTAACACCAAGCAAAGCAGTGGTACAGATAATGTGAACTATACTGTTCTAAAATATCATTCGCAGTGCTTAGGAGCTCCAACTGTGGTGTGATTTAAAAAAAAAATAAAGAGGAAAGAAAATATTCCTGACATTTTATTTGCTGTTACTTAAGAGCTTGGGATGAAGGAATCTTTTTTTCTTTTTTTCAATTAGCAGTAATTACAAAAATATACACTGTTCCCAGGGCTCTGACTTCACCTTGGCTTGATTTAACTTCCTGTATCACCCAGCCGAGGCTTTTGTACCACTCCCCGTGCTTGACATGTGCTTAAGCTTAGTTTGTCATCTGGGTCAATTATGTCAAAATATTTTCCAATTGAAGTTTCCTCTGCTTTTCCCTTCAGCCCTTGGCTGTGGCAGCTCAAACAGATTAATGAGGCTTGGAAAGGTCGACTGCTTTGCTTTGTGAAGAACTGTCAGTGAATTTTGGGGAGACAGTTTAGCCTTT